CAAACCCTCCCCCAGGTCCCCTCCACCATGTAGCCCTCGCTCTAGTCTCCTGTGATGTAATAGTATTTTTTAAACAATATTTTATTTGTTCTTGGAAAGTTTCAGTCATACTTATTTAAGTATTTACCTGCAATACTTATTATTGATTTAATAGAAAAAGTGCTTTTAATATCTGATTTTCTTATTTTCATTCCAAAAGCACTACACTTGTAGTAAATAATACAGATATGTAAAGTGGTCACATCTCTTTCTCCCCCAGCCCCTTATCAACTGACCAAATGTACATCATTTTCATAATATTTTAAGGCTTAAGCCACATATAATCTTTACATTTATATTTGTTTATTTTTGCCTTTTCTTTTTATAAATTATTTTGGGATAATGCTATACTACTCTGAAACTATTTATATTTAAAACTATTTCTTAGAATTCTGTCCAGGTTAAATAGATCCATTTTTTAATTGTGATTTGAGGGGTAATAGTTTTTAGAACACATTGGTTTTCTATTCCCCCTTCCCACTTCATCTTTCTGATTATCGTTCCCATTAATCATTGTCTCTTATCCCATCCTGTATTTCAGATTTTATCTTTGGGTAAATGCTGCTCTTTTGCCCTTGCATAGTTGGTTATTCTGAGGAATATATGCCTCTCTGATGTTATTGCTCCCTTTACAGACCTGCCTATTATTTGGCTGAAAGTTGGCCCATGGGAAAATATATACACTTAAAGAACTTGTTTTAAAAACTGGATAGTGGCAGCTGTATTTGTATCACAATTTGGATACCATTTTCCTAACAAGGAACACTTAACCTGAGGGTACAATAGAAGTTTTATCTGAGGGGAAATAAAGAATATTGGAAACATTATACTCTGTATGTTTACCAAGACTTTTAACTGTGCTAGAATTGTAATCAAGTTTTTATTTGATTTGTTCTGGGAAGAGTGTCTTTCACAATGTGAACAAATAACTGAGAAATTAATAATTTTGTAAATTTATTAATTAAATGAAGAACAAGTGAAAGAGCTTTGCCTTACTCTGATCTTGTAATGAATCTTTAAATATAGCTATTGTCCAAGAATATGCAGCATCAGGTTTAGCAGTAAGATGAGCCTGATGTTTAGAATCCTATTCTGGAACACTTTTGAGGCTTCTGACAAATAATTTTTGTTTCAGCCTGGGGTCAGGATGATACGATATTTGCTTTCTGAGCAGTGTGGTTTGAATTCTCCATAGGAGAAAGGCGGACAGCCTCCTGTGCAAGAAGGTACTGCCTCTGAGAGCCCTGGCGAGTTAGCTGTGTCAGATCCGACTCTATGGTGCTCAACAATGATGATGACAACAACAACAGTGATCCTTAGTTGAAGGTTACTTTCATTTATTCATTAGCTCAAGTTCATATGATTGGATTGGACAGGCTCATACCTAGCTGACTTTCCAGTGAATTTTCCACGGGTGTAAATTGCACAGAAGGAGGTTGCCCATCTTTCTCCAGCAGAGCAGCGGCTGATGTTGAACTGCCAGAGCGACCCCTCCTTTGTGTGGGAAGTGCAGCTCCCTACAGAATGCACGTTTATTGGGCTCAGATTTATTTTAGTCATAGTGTATTTATGCAGAACTTTGTAGTTTGCAAAAAATTACATGCTCATAAGCAAACCAACATAAAATAAAAATGGCGGGGGGAAGATCCCAATCTAGAAAACCCTTTGGGGTAGGTATACTCTCATCTGGGGCCACTAAGCCTTGGAATTGATTAGAAGACGCACACCGCCACATCTAGGACAAACTCTAGAAAACACTGTGTGGATCACGTTTTTCTGCAGAGCTCCTCAGCTCCACAGTGAATCTCTCCCCACGTTCCCAGGACACTTGAGTTGCCACATCAGACACCAAGCTCCCAAACTGACTTCTTTCTGCTGACAAAACTTAACAGTCTCATGCCCTATTCTCAAACCACAAATAGAGCCTTGACATACTGAGAAATGAAACTTTTTACTTGCTAGTCTTCAGAGAAATGAATGACTTAAAGAGCGAACTAATCACATAATGTTTTCCTCAGGAAAGCCTTCCAAGTTCCTTATATTTAGTCTTGTAGTCCCTTTACACAAGGATTCCCTGTGGCATGCTGCCAGATGCAAGGCTGGATTGTAACAGCTGTATGAGCCCTTAAGTAACAAACTTGAACTCCTTTTGTGAATCTTTCATCAGTTTGTAATCTTGATCTCTATTTTCCAAGCTCCTTGACTCCCTGTCTTATGTGATTTTAACTTATGTGATTTTAATGTATGTGTTAAATCCTTTATGATGGGATGCTTTGTATATTAAAAAATAAGGAATAAATGTATTCATTAGGAGTTGGTTAAATACTCAAATAGTTGATTTTAGTTCTATATGAACCAAAAAAATACAGCCACAATTGCAAATTCTTATTAATTAGCTACTAAATATGCTCTATGCATATGGAAATTTGAAAAAAATTATAAGCTCATACTTATGCAGAACTTTGAAGTTTGCCAAAATTATAAGCTCATGTATTTTCTCCTATTTATCAAATTCATGACTGGTATATTTTCATCAGAGCAATGTAAAGTATGCATTGTTGTTGTTGATTGCCTTTAAGTCAAGCATGATGCACTGTGACCCTATGAACAAAAGACCTGAAGCCTTTCTATAACTATTGACATTTATCAACGTTCATAGAGTTTCCGGAGGCATGTTGTTTAGGAAGTGGATGCCAATTCTGCTTCCAAACTTGTCTTAAACTGGGAGCTCCACCAAACACTGTCCATCACAGCCTTTATGGCATTTGACACCCCAAAGGCACAAGGTTCAGCATCACAGCAACCCCAGGTTACCTCAGTGCAGCATATTGAAATGCACAGTCTTTTCAGCTTTATTCTTTTTGGTCTCACTCTGTGTATATGTTCACTTGCATTTCCTTGAAGGCTGCAGTTTTGTGAATTTATAGGAATAGAAATGGTTACTGTAATGGGTTCATTGCAAAAATAGTTAAAAGTCTCCAGTCAAAGTTCGCATTACCAATAATCATAGTTGGATATTGTCTATAAAATCTAAACATAAAATAACCATGGACTATTGTCATTCTTAGTTTTAAAATGAGAAAGAATGCAATTGTATGCCACCTAAAATTTTAAATATTTTCTTTATAAATGTTGACCTCACTAATGATAAAAAATATTTTTCTACTATGCTTTTTAGTCATC